AATAAACATGTGCAAACAATATACTTGCTCTTGTGAATTTATTTTGATGTTAATTACATTGTGCAAGCTGTCTCTTTAATACCGCGTGGTTTATATATATGTTGCTGCTGATTGGGCTGACATGTTTGACACACCCACCAAACAAGAGAAAACGCATCTCAAACCCCGTTGCACACCGTTGCACACCGTTTTCAGGAAACATGTCATTCAAACCGGAAACCGTAGCAAAACGGTGCACACCGGTTTGAGCTTGAACTTGCCCCAGTTCACTGCTGCGCCGTTCATTCCGGGCGAGGTTCTCGCTCTCTCATAGGATCATATTTGTATGGAAGCCCGTTTCCGCCACTGAATCAAAAATAAAAAAAGGTCATTGCGAATTTTTAATCTCACAGTTCTGACTTTTTTCACAGAATTGCGAGATAAAAAGTCGCAATTACCTTTTTCTATTTTTTATTCAGTGGCGGAAACGGGCTTCCATATATTTGTGCACATTTTCGATTTCATCAAGGTACCAAAGTACAAGCAGATCAAATGCGATGTAAAGTCAAAGCTCACGATTTACGTGCTCACACTGTACGTGTGAAATACTCGAGTCGCGCAGACGATGACATGGACGATAGCCAGAGATATCTTAAAAAAAAAAAATATCGAGAGGATTTGGCATTTCCAATTAATGGATTAAATTATTACCATTATTATTATTATTATGGTACTTTTATTATTAAATGTATAGGTCTACTACAATTCATTTGCCCCGCAATAATTTCATAGCTCATTATACCGCACAACTGACGCACGGATAATAAATGATTAAATATATTAAATATATACATGCATGTGTTTGTATTTATATATACATAATAAATATACACAGTATACACACACATATATATTATGTAAAGAAAAACTTTTATTTTGGATTCGATTAATCACGATTAATTGTTTGACAGCACTAATATATACATAATAAATATACACAGTACACACACATATGTAAACAAAAACTTTAATTTTGGATGCGATTAACCGTGATTTATCGTTTGACAGCACTAGAAATAAGTGTTTTAATTATGGTTAAGTGAAGCTATTCAATAAAAGCAGTGTAGCAAGCAGACGAGTGTTTTCTCTCTTCTGATTCTGTATCAGAGTATAGAAGACTTCTAGACTCTTTGTCTGTATCACAAAATACGACGCAGAAGTGTGGCGTCACTTAATACGTCACTACAAAAAGTCAAAGGCTAAAATATGAACCTTTACTTTAAGCTTAATATTTCAAATACCTGTGAATTTTGAGGTCAAGAAAAAGAAACTATTTTGCATCTTTTTCATTGTATTTACTCAAGATTATTTTGGAAGGATTTGGAATTTTATATTAATAGAAAAATGATAGAGTGTATGATAGAAATTTGTATAATTGATGTGCTTTTTTTATACAGAAAATTAAAATTTGAATTGTAAAGAACAACATATTACACATTTGTTTATTTTATTAGGAAAATACTATATAAGAAGAAGTGGGCTCACCAAAATTTTCACATTTTATAAATGACTTTAAATTTTATGTAAATGTTTTGGAACAAACCAAAAACAAAAAAGCACTGAAAGCATGTAATGCTGAAAGCATTGACATTTACGTCATTTTCATCCTTCCTTTCTTTTTTCTCTGGCATATATATGTATGTATATGTGTGTGTG